TAGAGGTTGTGATGTGTTTCTTGTACAACCCACTTGTCCTCCCGCTAATGAGAATCTTATGGAGCTTCTTATAATGATAGATGCTTGTCGTAGGGCTTCCGCCAAAAATATTACTGCTGTTATTCCGTATTTTGGGTATGCTCGTGCTGATAGAAAGGTATAAAAGGGTTATATTACATCCACCGAGTGAGTGGCAATTTGCATTATATGATCCATGTTGTGGAAGTCATTTTAGGGAGATTTTATAATCTCAAATTCAATATTTGTTTCATATATTGGTGTGCTACTGTTTTCAGACTCAAGGGCGTGAATCTATAGCCGCCAAACTTGTTGCAAACTTAATAACAGAGGCCGGTGCAAACCGTGTTCTTGCGTGTGATCTTCATTCTGGGCAGTCAATGGGTTACTTTGATATTCCTGTGGATCATGTCTATGGTCAGGTAATAATCAGTTTTCTTGTTTTTCTGTTTGGGTTTTAGTCCTCAGTATTCATAGGGGTTGATGCTAGAAAATGAAGACAATTTCAAAATACTTGGGCATTATCTCAAGTGTTAAATGGTGGGGAGTGTTGAGGACCTAAAAAATATGGTACAGAATTGAATATAGATAAGTTTGCTCCTTCAGAAAAGGCTATAGTATAAATGATATGACTTCTTTCTTATGTATGTCAGTTTATTATAATTGGGTTTATTTAGCTGTTAACTTATTAAGTTGTTACTGCCAAAGCTAAATTTGTTGCTTTCATGGCATAATTTAGTGTGTGAAAATACTTAATGCATTCTCACATGTATGAACAATCAAAATAAATGATACTCTTATGTTTCTTTCATTTCCTCTTGTAATGTTGACAGTGGCTAATGATTGTCCTTCTTTATCTCTTTGTGAACTTTAGCCAGTGATACTTGACTACCTGGCCAGCAAGACTATATGTTCTGATGATTTGGTAGTGGTCTCACCTGATGTTGGGGGTGTTGCGAGAGCACGTGCTTTTGCCAAAAAACTATCTGATGCACCTCTAGCCATTGTTGATAAAAGGCGCCATGGGCATAATGTTGCGGAGGTCAGATTCTCTTCATATGCAGTTTCTTGTGCCTCAAATGGGTTAATACAATATCCTGATTTCCCATGATAAAAAGTAGTGTTTTTAATATTTCTATACCTATATGTGCTGATAGACCACCTATAACCAAGATTTACAAGAAGAAGAAGGAAAGGGACAATAGGGACAAATAAGAGTTAGTTAGGGGAATAGTCCACATGGACCCAAGAAGGGATATTATGTGACTCCACTTGTGTATATAAGGGGGGGAAAACCATGAACAGGGCATGTTATCACTTTTGGGAATGTTGGGGGGAGGCGACTAGCTCCTCGAATTGCTAGTACCTATTTTACTGCTTATTATTGTTCTTTTTGGATATTCTTGCATCTTTGTTTCTCATTTCAGATCAATATATACATATAATTGTTTCTGTTGTTATTTTGGTGTGTTCAGGAATTGTTGGAATTGCTTTGTTGATTGATTTCTATTGAAGTTCCTATCATGTGCTTGATCTTGTTTTGCAGGTGATGAATTTGATTGGTGACGTGCGGGGAAAGGTGGCAGTTATGGTGGATGACATGATTGACACAGCTGGTCAGCTTCGCACAAAATCTAATTGCTTTCCGTTTTCATTAAATAGGAAAAGCATGCAACAGATGATTTATTTTAAATAGTATCTTTCCTTTTATTTTCTAATGTTATCATCCTGATCACTGCTATTTGTTCTTTTTCTAAGTGACTAATTGGTTTTTGGGTTACAGGAACAATTGCCAAAGGTGCAGCTCTGTTACATCAAGAGGGGGCCAGGGAAGTCTATGCTTGCACTACCCATGCTGTTTTCAGGTACCTGGATCCTTAAGTCTAAGATCATCTTTTGTTCCTTTATAGAAGGGGCAAGATAAATAGCCCCTTAGGTTACAGATATTGTTACATCAAATTTAATCTTTTGGATTACAGAATGATCTATGGCTCAGATATAGAAGAAATTTAATGACATCGGAACAGTAAATACGCACAACTACTTATGATTGCATTTAATGTTTTTCTTCTTTTTCTCTGATCTTTCCTTCCTTTTCACTTCTCTCTCCGCTCTCCTTAAACCTCACAACTCTTTCTTAACTAAAACATTTTTTTTTTCCTTTTCATTGATGCTGAATACACTTCATAATTATAAAATACTTTTTTATGATATCAAAATATTTTTAGCCTTCGTTAATACAAATTTGATGCTAGGTTTTTACTGTAAGTCGAACCAAGATAGATAGTGATTATTTGATTATCTTTTTCATCATTATATTATTTTCCTTATCTAAGCTAATAGAGATAAAGTAAAAAAATAAAATAAAATGAATTCCTTGGTCTAGCAATTAAAATAAATAATTTATCATATACCTTACTATTCTTTAAAAGCATATATTTATGAGAATGAATTATTGCAAATAAACACTATAGTAATATTGCTAACTAGTTTAAATATAAAAATGTAAAGAAACAAAAGAAGAATGATTATATTTCTTCAGGTTGATGATAATAGGAAAGGAGAAAATAATGAAAAAAATAAATAGGAGAGAGAATATAGGTGAATTAAATAGGAAAGAGAAGATATATGAAAGAGATATTGAAGAAATAACTAGGATAAGAGAAAAAGAGATAATTATGAGATAATGATAATAAATCTTCACCCTTCATTATTTTTTAATCCAAAGTCTTAATTTTGATGTAAATATATTTGTAAAGTTATGGGGTTGATCTTGTCCCTCATAAAATGCTAAAATTTATAATTTGGATAGACAAAAAGAAATTACTATGACATGATAATAATTCTTCACCCTTCATTTTGTGTTTTACTCCAAAGGTTTAAATTTGATGTAAAATTATGTGTTAAGTTATGGTCCTCATAAAATGCTAAAATTTATATATCTATTTATTGATGCTTCTTTTAGTAATTTTGATGCTCGGTTAGTAAATTAGTCAACCAACTACAGTAGTTTTGAAATTATGCTGTTAGTTAAATTTTTTAATGCATGGGGGGTTAAAGTCGCTTTACCATCTTTTTGGAGTAGGTGAAAACTACAAATTTACTTGGGAGATTAGCTGACTACTAGAATACAACAACGAATTTTTTATTTTATTTAAATGCTTCAAATATGATTTTCATTATATATATATATGAAAACACTGCTAGTTTCCTCTATAAATTTGATTATGATTTTATTGAATGACAAGACTTGGACTTCGCATAATAAAAAAGTCATTGTAATTGTTTGTACCAAAAATTGTATTTATTTATTGCTTATCTACAGTCCTCCTGCAATAGAGAGGTTGTCAAGCGGCCTGTTTCAAGAAGTTATCATCACAAATACCATTCCTGTGTTGGAGCAGAACTATTTTCCTCAGCTGACTATCCTATCAGTTGCGAATCTTCTAGGGGAGACCATATGGCGTGTTCATGATGACTGCTCAGTGAGTAGCATTTTTCAGTAAAATTGGATTAGTACAGAACTTATGAAATTTGTTCATGCCACCAAAATAGAAAATGAAATTAATTCATTCTTTCTCCATTCATGATTTGGTTGATGTGCTCTCAGTTGTTTGCTTTCATTCCATTCTTTAGCGAGGAATACAAGGATTGCCTATATTGATTAGCTGAAATTTCTGAACCCTACATTTGATATAGAAGAGAATAAAAAGTTTGAGCAACAAAATAAAAAAAATTAAAAAATTAAAAAAAAGCCTGGTAAATTTGTAATCCTGCCCAATTTTTGAAGGATTTATTGAATGTGTTAATTGCTCATTGTCTGGCTTGTCCAGTGGTAATCTCAATAATAATGTTACTATATATATTTTAGCTGGAATTTTCTTTAGTTTGAGGAGTTGCGATAATTTGTACATAGATTTATCATTCACTTTGAAGATGGTAGTGCTGGGAGTAGATTCATTTCGGATCTTTTCTGATTGTCAGGGTGGCTATGAACCCTATTCGAGCTTGGGCATTGACTGATCAATTTACATCGGTGGTTTAAAATTCAGCTTCACTATTGCAATTTTGCTATCTCCTTGATAACATAACTGTGAACCTATAGCAAAATCATAATTTTCTCATCAGAGGGGCTGAATCTTTTAGTTGTTTGTGTTCAAAGCTTTATTACTATGTGGTTCAATAGGCAGGTTTTTAGTTACTTCAATTGAATTCTGTACAAATCTTAGAGATTCTTGTTTACGGGAAATGTTAAAAGAGTGAAAGGAAACAGATGTATAATTTCTGTTTTATTTTTGAGTTGAATGTCGAATTTTTTTGTATGATAAATTTTCAATTTTTGGATATCATTAATATTTTGTGAACTTACTGCAATTTGCTTATGCTTATGTAGTATATTAAATGAGCATTTTCTGCATGAATGAAAGTTTTCTAATCTGCTGTATGATTTGATCTTACTCCTAGGCATCCCCAAGACGATTGTGATTGGTACAAGTGTACCAAATTCTCAGTGAAATGTTATCATTTGATTGTGGAGATTTCTACCATATTAGCTCGCTATCGCCCCTTTATTGTGTGTGAAATTGATCCTAACTTGTTTCATTAGAAAGTAAGTGAGTTTTGTTGGATAATTTTATCTTTTTATTTGTTTTTGAAAACCATGAAAGTGGTTGGCCCAGGGATTTTGATTTCCTAGATGTATAACAGGATATCCATGATCAACTGTTTAGAAACGTTACAAAATATGTAACCCTTAAGACTTTGGTTTCGCTCCCAATATCATCAAGTATCATCTTGTGTATTTCTTATATGTTATTTTTAAGTTAAGAATTAAGGTTGCATTATGAGAATTTATACACCAATGAAATTCCATGAGGGCTGAAAAACTACAGTTTGTTCACTACACAAAGATTGGAGTAAGTTAATAGAACTGATTTTTCAGCGTACACAATCACTGAAGCAAATAAAGAACTGAACGGAAGTAAGAAATTATGGTCTTTTATTCAATCTACTTGACAAATCTGCAAAAGTATCAGTCAATTACATGGATCATGACAAGCAGAGGAGCTCTAGAAGAACCCTTACAAAGCCCTTATACACTAGCAAGCTTTAAGTATTACAACATGAAAAGTACTAAAAAGGCTCTTCCTGGCACATGCACATCTCTTTGTACAAAGAGAGAATGACATATAAGAGCTGCCAAAGCCAGTAAGAATACACAAACTGGTCAAAGTTTGAGTGTGAGATCAGGTGCAGAATTATCCAAGTTCACTGCTGGAGCAACTTCCAAAAAATTCATACTTGAACTTCCTGCTGCTGTAAAACTTGGATGAGTATTGCCCGCCTCAGCTACCTGACGGAAACTACCTGGCCATAACAACTCTGCCTCATCATCCTCCACGAATATTGGGAGACCAGGATACCTGTGTTCAAATCTTGCATTGCTCCTAACATCTGGTGATCGCACGGGTGGTGTATAGTGTTGATGCACTGATGAATGAGCTTGGATCCCCAAAGACCTGAAGGAAGAGCCATGAAGAGGCAGAGATGCTAAGCTGGAGTACCTCTCAGAAAATATCCCTATTCGCATAGCTCGTTTTGCAAGTGTTCTTTCTCTCTTATGTGCATTCTGATGGCCACCAAGTGCCTGGGAGCTGAAGAATTTTCGATGACAGTAATTGCAGGAAAACACTCGCGGAATGGCTGCTGCCGTAGTTTGAGTGACAGGTTCATTGCTACTCTCACTTGTGCTCGACAATGAAAGTCCTACAGAATCCCTTGCTCCTGACTCATTGTTATTGAAGCAAAGAGTTAAATCAAGTAAAACTGGATCTGAATTTGATTGAATCTCTAAAGGATTAGTGAGATTGGATGAGTTAGTGAGGCTGTCATTGGAGGGAGTTGCAGAATTTTCTTGGTTTGATAGGTTGGAAGCTACTTGGCTGCTAACATCAGAATCATTTTCAGAGAAAGCTTCCACTTCAAGGTCAATTTCTGGGTTCATGGTTGAATTGAAATTTTGAGGCGAAGAGCTAGATTACATTCTAGATATGCAATGCCAGAATGGTGAAGTCCGAATAATCTTTTGCTGCATTTACATAATGTTCATCTGCATTTTTCAAGATATGATGAATGCTTAGTTCATTGCAATTTAAAATTACTAACATAGAAGGCAACGTCTTGCGAGCAGGACATTACAATTGGAAAATCAACGCTCAATGCAACCTTTGATATAGAAATGAATTGAGTTTTAGAAGGACTTGAAACAAAACCGTTAATGCTTGCAACTGCATGAAAAATAGATAGATGATTATTACATACACTTAAGATACATCAATAAAATGATTTAGGAAGAGAACAACTGCAGAGGAAGACTAGCAATTTTACACTTCATTTTGAATTTTATAATTAAAAAAAGGAAATTAGGCTGTACACAAAAACAACAAAAAAGCATAAAATAAAAAGGAAACCTCAAATAATTTCTATTTGGCGACAATAATGTCTTCACCACATATCATTCTCTAATCGTTAAAGAAGAATTCTAACAGAAAGAAAAATTACTGGTACATATTTTCCAGAGAATAAGTTCATTAAGTAGACAAATTCATATTCAACCACATATATGTAACAGATAATTTTCAGCAGAATTATATATTGTATGTGCAGTGATCAAACAAACTGTGTTCCTGCCTGCTGAAACCAGAATAGAAAAGAACTATATGCCACTCTATTAAATCATTTGAAACCAATGCTCACAAGGGCAAGAGAAAGTGGGGAAAACCATACATATCTTATTGTTACGTTTCTTTTTCTATATTTTCAAAATATTGAAAAGCAAAAGCAGACAGATGCAGTACCAATGAAAGGATTTTTTAACAAGAACTTTTATATTTTATTTAAAATATGATATCCATACATTAAGCAAATGAAAGACCTCAAGGTGTGACACAAGTGCTTTGAGAATTCTCCCTCACTCTGTCCATATGCATCAAACATTTATTCAAAATATTTGAGAGACTGGGAATATTGCAGCAATGCACAGGCATGTTAAGAGTGTTGCTATAACAAGTCTTTAATTGCGTCAAGAGCATCAAGTGCAAAACGGAAGCTTTATGGATATCTAAATTCTAGATGAGTATTCCTGGATCTAGAGAAACTTATAGCAACACAAAACTATCGTAAAGCAAATGCCAACAATTAATTTTTGGTAACTGAGAGATATGGAAATACTTCCCTAATTTCCTTAGTTTTGATCCTATCTGTGTTGTCTAATGGCAGTTGTTAGGACTGGACTTAATCGTCTCAATGATAACAACTTGGTGTCCAGTAATGTAGGCCAAGCTTTTTACGGCATTTGATAGGGCAATACTCGGGCATGTTACCAATAAACAAGAGACATTTAGAATCCCGTGGTTTAGTTAGTTTTGAGATCATCAAGTGTTCCAAAAAACAGTACACTGTAATATACCACAGCATGGTAGAATCCATCATTTAAACAGTGGTAAAATAGAAGGGTGTATTCTACTATTTAGAGGAAACACTCAATTAGTCGGAATATAATAAAGTAGGATGGGTATTGAGATATCTTGAGCTACATAGCGAATGAATGTGAAACTGTTTGATTCATGGTGAGAGCGCTGGAATTTGGGCAGTCATACATCTTATTTGCAAAAAAGAGAAATAGGAATACTTTTGGTAGGGAGAAAGGGGATCCTTCTAGTCTGATATGTGAGAATATTGGGATGCAGGAAAGTTGAAGCTTCATAATACGAGTTCCCAATTATTAGAGGAAATGAACCATCTATCATGAACAAATTTTCAGTGGTTTCTGTTGGTTTGTTAGGACACTGAAATTTCATTCTCTAATATTTTCTCACCCGCTAAAAGCGAAAAAAAATTTGAAGGAAGGAACACAGAACATATTGCACTCAGGATAATATCGCAATAATGAAAGAGAGAAAAAACACACACACACACAAAGTGCTAGTTAGTGGCTTGACATAAAGCAACGACTGAAATTTATAAAGTTGCTTCAATACAATGAACACCACATTTCCCCTTCCTCTAGAAAAATGGCAGGTTGCTAGAAGAACTACAGAAAGTCAATTCCTCTGTTTTGTTTATTAATCAGTAGAAAATAAACTCTAATTTTTAATATTTCCGAATCTCCTAACATACAAGAATTTCAATAACATGGCAAATGAGCAAAAGTATGTAAGAAAAATAGTTAATACCAACAGAATGAGCAGTAGAGGAGGCTCAATGACCAAAACTGCTGATAGTTATTGACTGATAGAGAAATTGGAAGCTACTACTGAGGAATAAACGAGACACAGAGCCTGGAAACTAAGGAACTTCATACTCGCAACAAATAAGGTCACTTGTTCAAAGCTATAACTACTCTACTTTAATCAGCAAACCAAGTATATGAAGCACATAAACTACTTAAAGTGGCATGAAAAAATACTCAAAATTAACAATTTTTTAACCTAAACAAGTCCCAAGTCTGAAAACTTATTGCTTGTGATGGTCTAATCAGAGAAAAATTCCTAAAATACAGGACCAAAGATCCAATCTCATCTGTCATTGATACATAATAGAGTTAGGTAGTTTAAATTATTGATACATGATCATTATGCGTTGCACAATCAAGATGTACATAGGGTTCGGAAAGTTATAATTTGTGTTAAAAGAACAGTAAAAGTGTGGAGGATATTTGATTCTTGAGAATGATGTACAATATGTGACAAAAACTTATGAAATAGCAACAGAAAAGAAAGACTACTCCTCAAAGTTCACAGAAATTAATTTTACAAAAGAAAATGCAGTATAGAATGTACTGCAGCACCAAACAAAAATCAAATTGATGGAGGAGAAAAGCAAGTATCTCACAGATTATCAATCTAAACTTCAATTCCCTAGTTTAAGATTTTAAAGTTAATTTTTCACATAAGTTTAAAAACAAGCAAACATAAATTAGACAGTTAATGAACTTGAATTAAAGGAATCCCAGAGAATAAAGCAAGAAAAACAAAAGTTGCAGCAAAGGTGCTAAATATAATTTTGCTTAGAAGATTTGCAGAGTGAAATTCAACAATAGGCATGAGAGACAGAAAAATGAAAACAACAATCCATCAAGGTAAGAGAATTCAAGAACTCAGCACAAAGTAATACACAAAAACACATCATTTATCTTAGTCCAGCTATATTTACAGAAAATTAAGGTTCCATTATAAGCAACATATGATGTTTAATGAAAATTCAAAAGACATTAGAACAATTTATAGTATAAAGGCAGACATTCCAAAGATATTAAAATTCAGAAAGCATTTGGAGAACATGCATCTACATCATGATAACCCCAGAATCAGAAAATAAAAGAAAGAGAAGGGTGAGTGTTTAAAAAACAAATAAGTAATTAAGAGGTGAGAAAGAAACAGAGGGTCATACCATCAGCATAAGAAGTTGAAGTAGTGGTAATGGAAATGTTGAAATGAAGTTGAGTGGAGTGTTAAGGGTGATCATTAAAAAACAAAGACACCATAAATGGGAAGCGTGTTAGGAAAAGAAAGAGAGAGAGAGAGAGAGAGAGAGAGGAAGGGGAAGAGGAGACAGTGGTGCGACGTCAGAGAAGTCAGAGAAAAAGGAAGAAGTGTTGGTGTTGGGATAAAATTAACAAAGGAAAAGGTTATCTTAAAGTCCAACTAAAAATGTACTGTTCTTTTACTTTAATGGATGATGAATTTCCTGGATATCAAACAAACTGCTCTGCGTGCAACTTGGGGATAAGTACATAGAATAGAAAGAAGGGAGTTGATAGTCACTTAAAAGAATCTTTCTCTATCTCTTTCTCTCTCTTTCCACTTCAAAAGTAGTCTCCATGAATAGAGTAAACCACATGTTCCCACCGAAGGTTCGACGAAATCCTAAGTTGGTACACCAAGTTCCATTTATTCCATATTCCTACCCTTAAAGTAACGGAAAATGGTTAGATATAACGACTCAGGGGTAAATTGGTCATTTCACAGAGGAGGCGCACATTAGCAGATCGCAGCCCCTGATAAAGTTCCGGCACACGTTAGCCAACCTCATCGTCGACGTTTTTCGCCTTTTTCCGGCGATTCTTCCACCCAAAATCACCCTTGTCACCACCATTCGAACCCTCATCCTCCCCTCTACAAAACCGTACCCTTGACAACCCCTTATCACTCGTCGATTGCCAGCCACGACAGCCGCCACATGCGGCTAGTGTTCGTTGATCTCCACCGGGGAATGACCACTAAACGGTTGCTGGGACATAGGGGTTTTGTAGATTAGGAGATGCTGGTTGTAGTGGTGACGTCGAATTAGATTTTCATCGCCAGAATTCGGCGAAGAATGATGAAAACCTAACCCTGACGACGTCGTCGATTGGAGAGGTCAATGAGTCGGGAATCAGAGGGGTTTTGGACGAAAAACGATAGGGAAGCTGATGGAGGTGACCAGGGGTTTTGCCGTCATCGGAAACAGCCTAGATCCAGTGAAAATCGAGACGGTGTGCAGTCACTGAGGGTGTAATTGAAGGAATTTCAAAACGAGATGGTTAATTTTATAATTTTAGTAATTTAGGGGCTAAAATATAATTTATTAATTTAGGGTTAAGGGTTAAGGGAATTATGGTAATTGCATCCTCACTACCCAAAAAAATGTTAACAATGTTATTTTAGAGGTGGGAATATGGAATAAATGGAACTTGGCGTACCAACTTAGGATTTCGTCAAACCTTGGGTGGGAACATGTCGTTTACTCCCATGAATATTAAGATGACTTCACAGTGCATGGGGTCGCCTTTCATTCATCACCCTTCTCTGCACGTCCCTAGCACATCTATAAATATAGCTATTCGCTTTCTTTCTTTCTTTATATATATAACTTGTATTTCAATATAGGATGAATAATACACCGGATTACTTACAAAGTACCCTCAAAGTTTGCCATAAATATAGGTGTGTACCTATCATTATACTATTGAGCATTTAGACATATAACTATTTAAAAATTTTATACTAGGNGTCCGTCCCTTCCTCACCCCTACTGGGGGTGAAACGCAACAGCACTATGTCACATCTTTCTGAGCACTGGAGGATCAAAGGGATGAAGGGATAGACCGCCTGACGCGGGACCTACAAGGGGTCACACATGTGAGGGCAGTTGCAGGGCCACTGCTTGAGAATGTGGTTGACGCCGAGGAGGATGAAGCCGCAATCGGTGAGAGGGAGGAAGAGGTTCGTATGCCTCAGTAAACCGGTACAACAAGTATCGCTTTGCCGAGGCGTCGAGGTCAGGAGAGTGAGGTGGTTGACCTCATAAAGAGTTTGTTTGATAAGATGGAAGAGCAGTTGAAAAGGGTGGAGGAGAAAGTGGATAAGGTGGCAAAGAAAGTTGTTTGGGTGGAGGAGGAAGTTAGTGGAGTATTAAAGGCGGTTAAAGTGCAACTTGGGCTGAAAAGAGAGAGCCAGAAGAGCAGGTTTGTGAAATTGCCTTACACTGTACTAACACGTGGAATTAAGAGGAAAACAAAGAAAAAAATTGAGGAAGAATCCAAAATTGAGGGGGTTAAAGAGGTTTCTGGAGGAAGTGGGGCAGTTATAATGGAGAAGGTTGAGGCGGGAGGCGAAGGAAGCGGGGATGTACAAATGGAGGAAGGGGGAGGAAGCGGGCAAGCAAAAACGGAGTCCACTGTCGATTTGTATAGGCCAATAGAGGAGGAAAAGAAAAAACCCTTCTACGCCTATTACAATGAATCCGGAAGTGATGCCCTTGTGAAGTGTAAGACCGAGGATTATTCTCGGGATTGGTTTGAAAAGATTTTGATGATGGACAGCTGGCTTCACGACTCGATGAGTTATTTTTGCTTATGTTTTCCATGAGGTATTGTATACTTATCATGTTGTTTTTATTTGATGTAGCACATCGATTAGGTATTGGCACTGATGAGGCTGCGACAAACCAGCAATAGTGATCTACTGTATCCCGATTGTGCCATCACCGATGTGGCCTTTGGCCAAACACTAGTATCGACATATCGCAATTTATTGAAAAAGGGCATTGGTACATCTGTAGCAAAAGGAGCCAAGCAAAAACAATCCGGCACAGAAGACTTGGACTGCATCCCTAATGATTTTAAGTTTGATGACAGGATGATGCAGTATGTAATGGGGGACAGGCCCAAATATGGCCATAGTTGGGCAAAGGTTAAAAGTGTCTACTNCCTAGTAATTTCCCAAACCCTCTAGACATAAAATAACGACCTATTATCAGCTAACTCCCCTAAGGTTTGACAAAAACCCAATCTCCCACCGATTGTTATAGAAATCCTCAAACAACTTCTCTAAGGTTTCCTATTTAATCAATTACCTCCCTTGAATCCCTTGAAGGCTAGTGGTGGACCCAGGATTTTTGTTGAGGCGCCCCCTCCGCGACATATGCCATTGTTTGTAAATCAACCAGTAAAAACTTTTAAAAAACCAACAAACCTTGAGAAAAAGGAATATTACAATATCAAGAAGCTGAAAAGAAAGAATGCAATAACACAATACTTTCTTATTTGAATAAATCTATGAGAAGCAAAACCTTGAGTAAATGTATTGAAAATAACATCTAATTCACAAGGAAACACAAGAAAAATTTTACTCCGAAAAACTTCTTCAATGTGAAAAGAGTAAAAAACCACGAGAATCTAACGATCCACTTAAATCCAATATAATTAAATGAGTTTATAGCAACCACAATCCAACAAAAAAATTCCACACAAATTTAGAGCTCAATCACAACTCTAACACAAGTAAAATACATAAAAGTTTACAAAGAGATTGATTAAAATCACCACAGAAGCAGTCAAACTTCAAGCTGTATAACTCCAAATCTAGCCGTTAAAATCAAAACTTAATCGTCTAGATTAAAGATCTGCACATCCTCTACATACTGATTAAAAAATAAAGTTAGAATGGTATACTTGAAGATCTGAATATATGAATATTGATTATTTAAAGATGAAAACAAGTTAGAATGGTATACCTGAAGATCTTCAATTTAACATGATTTTCCGCTTCGATATATTCTGAAAGTGTTCAATGATAACTTCATTATGAATTGTAGCAAAAACTTCATTTTCAATGTAAACCACCAAGCAATTGTTCATCCACTCTCCCATTTGATTACGCAAACTATTCTTCACAAGATTCATTACAATGAACACCCTTTCAACTGTTGTAGTAGCCAGGGGTGGACCTAGGCCTTGTGAGGGTAGGCTTGGAATTAAAAGAAAAAAATTGAAGAAACATTGACCAGGCCTACCCTCAACAACTGAAACCCAAACTACAACAGCTCAAATTCAAACTAGTGAAGCCCATGCCCCCCAAAAGGAATTAAAAAAGAAAGAAGAAAAAGATAAAAGAAGAGAAGAAAATCGGGTGAAGAAAAAAAAAAAAGGTATTCTCCTCTTACCAATTTATTTATTTATGTCTTATGGAAATTTTATTTATTTTTATGTTGAATGTTGTAAGGTATTGCTTTGTTTTTAGTTTTGTGTTGTAAAGTTGTTGGCTTTGGTTGTTTCTTACTAGGTTTCTACGTCTGTTTGTTGAAGAATAGGTGAGGATTTTTTTTTTTGGAAATTATGATTTTGTAGATGAAATTGTTTTGATTAGAAGCTTTAGTGAAGTTGGATGTGTGCTTTTTAAGGGAAGCTGATTGAATGATATGGCCGATTTTAATTGAAGACTTTATTGGGTGTCATTTTTGATTGCCCTTTTGTTTGGTTATAGACAATCAAGGATTACAAACTTTGATCTCAATATTAATCTTTTTGGTTATGTTATAATTTTCTTTTTATCATTAGGAGAAAAAAGTTTAACTACTTTCTGATCAGATTGTTAGAGGATTGAATGGTTTTATCCCTATTTTTTTACCAACATATACATTGTGTTTTTGGATTTTGATGTGAATTTATAGTGTAGGTGTTAGAGATTGCGCCTAGATCCAATCAATTATTGAATATTGACTCTTGTAAATCATGTTATTTATCAATAAAAAGAAATTTTTTTTCTACATCATGTAATTCATAATTATATGTATTTATATATTTCCTTAAGATGGTAGAACTATGATGAGAGTATCAAGTGTTCAACTCGATAGTGAGAACCCTAGGATCACATATGGTAGTCATTCTAGAAATATCATAGCCCAGTATTGTTCGAACTAAGGGCACAGGTAATACAGTAGTATCATAGTGTTGACGAGCTTGTCGAAAGTTAGTGACTGATCTCACTTGTCAATGTTGTTTTAGTGACAACCTGGTACAACACATGGGTGCTTTGTTATAGGCCAGTTCACCGGACTGACCCACTAGAGGAATTCCACATAGAATGGTAACCTCAGTGGTCTGTGAAATAAATCTTCTACATGGCTGTGTGCATGTTTCCTTAAACTTGAGATCACTGGAGCACCTTATACCCATCGTGTAGTTGTAACACTAGCCCAATGTAAAACCTATTCAAGGCTATTAGAACGGTATGATTGTTACATCGGAAGTGTATTGAGACGAATATTTACTGACACGGCCATCCCAAGGTTTCGCGTTAAGAAAATGGCCTTGAAACTGTTTTCATTTTTTTTTTTATTTAGAGAAGCTGACGTGGCACAGTTAGATCCATTAAACATGTAAAATGGTGTTAAAATGAAAAGATTAAACATATAAGACAAATAATT